GGTTACTGTAGCTTCAAAAATGTGCAAACACCTAATGAACAGGATTTGACGCCAAATTGCAGAAATTCCACGTTTTTTAGAGAAAAGTGCTACAAATTTCATCTTATTCTGACTTCCACTACTTTTAATACCAAATTTGAAGTTGTCTGCATTTTGGCGTCAAATCTTGTGCATTCTGTGTTTGCACACTTTTCAAGCTACAGTAACCCAAGTATCTTCAAAAAAGACCTAGAAGCTTTCAGAAAAGGCGTTTCCAGTCTAGAGTTTCGCGTTGAATCTGAATTTGTTGTTAGTTTTTTATTAATGTCAATGGAAGTTGGAGGAAATAGAATTTTTTGAGTTTTTCATCAATTTCAGGTACTGGAACCTAATTTTTGATTCTAAGACCATCAGATTCGAATCGTCTGCGTCTCTTTATCTCAACTCAATAGTTTACAGTTATTTCTCTGCACTTCATCGTCAAATCTTGTGCATTTGGTGTTTGCACACATTCCAAGCTACAGTAACCCAAATACTTTAAAAGCGGCCTAGAACCTTCCAGAAAAAGCCTATCTAGACTGGAATTGTGTGCTAAATCTGTATCTATTGTTATTATCATTGTCTTACTTTCAAATCCACTTGATAAAACTCATGAAGATCAGCTTTTGGAAGGATTTCAGCTCTTAAAAGATATTCAATTGCATTGACATGTGAGATATTTTCAATGACTGGAGGAACTCCTCGATCCTTCCAAACACCATCTCCAACTTGTTTTCCGAATTCATGATAGACTCGATCAATGATATAAGCCGGGCGTAGATGGGGACTATTCAAACAGTTGTATGCGGATTCTGGATGCTCCAAAAGCCACGTGGCATTCTTTGCCGCATGATTCCAGACGACGTCTTGGACTGTTAGAACACCCCAGGATCGTTCGATGTCTTCGACGAGGGATTGGATGTTTTCGAATGTTGTGTCAGGCCCAACAGTCTGGAAATTTTCAGATTTTTTTGAAAATTGAAAAAAAATCGGATTTTGAGAATTTTCTAGAGATTTTGAAATTTTAGAATTCTGAACATTTGACATTCTGAGATTTTCAAACTGCTGAAACTTTGGAAATTTTGATATTGAGAAATATTGACATTCTGAGATTTCGAGATTCTAGTATTCTGAAATCATAGATTTTTAAGTTTTGAAATTATTGATTTTTGTCATTGGAATTTGAAAAAGAGCAAGATTTTGAGATTCTGAAAATTTAAAAAATTGAATCCTTTTTTCTGAAAATTATCGAAAAAAAAGTTTTTGACACTAAAAATTTCAGAATCTCTGAATCTTAGAATCTCGGAATCTTTAAATTTTAGAATCTCTAATTCTGAGAATTTCAGAATCTCAAAATATTAGAATCTAAAATTTTCAGAATCTTAGAATCCCGGAATCTTAGAATCTCTGAATCTGAAAATCTCTAAATCTGAGAATCTCAAAATTTCAGAATCCCAAAATTTCAGAATATCAGATTCTCAAAATTTCAGAATCTTAGAATACCGGAATGTTAGAATCTCTGAATCTGAGAATCTCAAAAATTTAGAAACTCAAACTTTCAGAATCTCAGAATTTCAAAATTTCAAATATTTTCAGAATTTTAAAGTTTTTAAAATCCCTCAAACTCATTTTTTAAAATATCGGAATCTCAAAATCTCAAAATTTCAGATTTTTATTATTTTAAGCAAGCTTTTTGAGATAAATTTCAAAGAAAAAGTTTTTCCACAAATCCAGATGGTCCTAGGGACTCCTACCTGAATCAACTGATGATGATTGCTCAGCGAATAACTGGAATTCGAGATTCCCAACTCATGAATTGGCGTCAAATGAATCATATTATATCCTGTCTCATGTGCCACTCTCAGACGATTCTTCCATTCCGAAATCGGTCCCAAAAGCTTTGTCAAATACGTTTGACAACAAATTCCATCCAAAGAAAGGGGCTTTCCATTGATTTTCAACTCAGGCATCACTAGAAAATATCCATGTCCGGATTCTGGATTTTCAGATTTTCCATTTTCAGAGATTCCATTTTCAGCACAAGGCACTTTTTCGACAACAAAATGATATCTAAACGAGCCGGCGGTCTCACAGCGAACTTGACAGTACACCGACAGGTGGTCTTTGCCTTCTGACCATTCCAAGGGGCGGTTTGGGCATACTGTAGTGAATACAGTAACCCGTTTTCCGAGAAGCGATGAGCCACGCTTGAATCGCACTATCCAACCTGAAAGGGCATTGAATTTTGAGGAGCCAGGTTTTTGCACAATTTTCGAGCTACTGTAGCCTAGATTTGTTTTTTTTAAAATTATTTTTATGGATTTTTATCGTTTTTTCATGTTGAACTTCTTATTTTCCCGGTCGAAAATTATAAAAAATTCGAATTTTAAGAAGTTTTTCGTAAAATTTGGTGTTTGCACAACTATTCAGCTACAGTATCCCAGATTCAATTTTTTTTTGGTTTGAAACTTGCAAAACAAATTTTCTGAATTTTCATGGTTTTACCGGTTTTGATTTTTATTCTTTTTTTTCGGTCAAAAGTTGTAAAAATTATATTTTTTCATTTTCTCGTGAAATCTACTGCTTGCACAATTTACTAGCTACAGTAACCCGAAATTCGTGTTTTTTGCAAGTTCAAACCTTTTTTCAGGATTACTGTAGACTTGAATATGTGCATACACCGATTGCGCAACATTTGACGCAAAGATGCAGAAAACCTTGAATTTTTGTGTAAAAATCGAATTTTTCCACTTCAAACTATAAAGTTCAGATTTACAGCGGTTCGTATCTCCAAATTAGAAGTTTTCTGTAGTTTCTCGTCAATTCCTATGCATTCGGTGTTTGCACAGTTTTCTGGCTACAGTAATTCGGAATTCCAATTTCTTAAAATCATTTATCTTAATATTCTATTGATTTTGAACTGCAAAAGCTGCACGAAAGAATTTTTTCAAAAAAAAATGCACCTACCTTTCTCGACTTTTCTAATCACACTCTCCAAATGCTCGCCATCCTCGAGCACAATAATTCTAACCTCGTCACCATCTTCTGCCATTGAAAATTGAGAAATTCTAGCCGAAATTTCTAGAAAAAAACGACCTGAAATCACAAAAAAAATCGGGGTGATTTCTGTGAACTTTCTAGAAACAAAAATCGACAAAAATAGAAAAAAAAAGAATCGGGTGAAGAATCAGATAAAGTGTTGTTTACGTGCTGAGAATCGTTTTTTGCAATTAACCAAAAAAAGACATAAAAAGTGCGGAACAAACAGCAAAAATCTCTTCTTTGATAAGAAAACAGAGAAAAGTTTTATCGGCAGTGCGTTTTCATACAAAAATAATAAACAATCCATCAAGGTCAAACATCTTGTTTGCACCGAAAAAATGTTTAAAAATCAATAAACAGGGACCAAAGAAGAACCTATTGATTTTCTCTTTTCAAATCACAGACTTATCAAATGCGTCCTGGGGCCCCTTGAGCCAGTTGTGCGTGCATTTTCACATGTTTTTTCTTTTTTCTTCCTGCTTTTTTCCCTTCTTCTTCTCTTCTTTTTCCTTCTTTTTCTCTCTAATTTTTTCTATTTTGAAAAACCGCCTTGCGCGTAGGATCTTGTACATTCTTCTGTGCATTATGGTGTCCAATTCACTGCTTGCGGACTTTTTGAACCAGGAATTTTCGTGTTTTTGGAAGCATTTTCAGATGGATTTTAGAGGTTTTAGAGCCACTTTTTGGTCGAATTTTGTTCACCAATAGCTTTAAAACATCAAACATTACCTTAAAATGTTCATTTTCTTCGATTTTTTTTTACTTTTCTCAAGCAAAGATAAAAACATATTTTTCAAGTTTTCAGGTATCAAAAACCCACTAAAAGAAAATGACAGCGGTATCAAATATGGTTAGTTTTAAGGCAAAAACTAATTTTCAAATTTCAAAATTTCGATTTTTCCAGGTCAATTTCAATATGAACGGCGGTGGTGGTGGTGTTCGAAGCACAATGCCAAATGTAACACTGACAATACAGCCGTCAACCTCATCGTCGACGATGCAACAACCGAAAATGATGATGAACAACTATCATCATCATCAGCCGAGGTTTCAGCGGAACGATGGGATGCAGGATGTGATGGGTGATGGCCCCGGACGACGGCTGAGGAAGAATGTGGCGAATGTCAGAAGACACGTGGATTATGTGTCGACAGTGCTGAATCATTGCGAGGTACTTTGGAAGAGAAAGCTAGCTCCGGGACTTGAAAAATTGACGATTTTGATACATTTTATCGCTTTTAATTGTGAAAAATGTCCTTTAAAATGATGAGCTAGAGTTCAAACTTGCTGTGAACTCAGTTGAAGTTCTCAGTTTTATGAAAAATCGAATTTTGAGGATAATCTTCAAGTTTGACGGTCCCAAAGCCTTTGGATGATTTCGAGCTATCCGGACTTTTAGAAACACGAAAATTATCCGAACGTTCTGAAAAAGTTGCTCTCCTTCAGTCAATTGTCTTTCTGAAACAGACCCAAAAAAGACTATTTCCCGGCCGTTTTCATTAGTTCAAAATCTATGTTTTTTTCTTCAGAATCGTTTATGGCAATACGGGAAGCAACGTGTCCTGCAGCAACCGGATATCCTTTACCAACCACTTGCAGTACCTGCAGACTCAACGCCAGACGTTCCTGTAGACTGCATATTGACCAAATTCATTCGAACCGCCATGAACAAAGTCAAGTGTCCGGTGTACAGTGTTTGTGTGAGTTTTTTACTGGAAATTCTATTGTAAATCCTGTTTTTCGCTCAAAAATCGGTCAAATTCATTGATTTTGCTCCATTTTCCCATGTTTTTCCAGCCAAATTTCATCAAAAATTCCTTCTATTTCAGTGGTCCCCGGAGGGGAAACGCTTGATCACTGGCTGCCAAACGGGCGAATTCACGCTTTGGAACGGAACCGCATTCAATTTCGAGACCATTCTACAGGTAATAACGGACGACTTGAGTCGATGGATTTTGATCTATTTTTATGATTTCTCTCATACGAATAATAAAGTATTCACATCGTTTCTATTGCGGTTTCCGGTCGCGGTATTTGATGTGAATAAAAGGTTTTTTTTCGCGAAGTTTTGTGTTTTTGGAGTCTTTTGGGTCACAAAGGAAATGTCAGAGGAGCCGAGGAGTCTGGACCAAAATTAGCCGATTTTTCAATTAATTTTGATGTTTTTGGCACTAAAAAAGAGCTGGAAATATATAGTTTCCCTGCTGAAAAATGGAGAAATTTCGGTTCCAAAAACTGAAAATTCGAGAAAAATATCAATTTTCTCTATAGAACTAGCAAGAACTCTGAAAAATGCTAAATTTTTAAAATTCAAAATTGATTTTTTTGAATTTCTAGGTTTTCGAAAATCGCTTCAAAATTCCTTTAAAAATTTTTTGAGAAAATCCGATTTGTCTAACTAAAAATACACATTTTCATTTGAAAAAGGCTAGATTTTTGGATTTTTGGATTTTTGAAAATTTCTTCAAATTCCAAAAAAAATAGGTTTTTTTGGCTGTTTTTGCATCGGAAAAATCTGAATTTTTTCATGGAAAAAATCTGGAAAAATGACAATTTTCCAGCTGAAAATTCAATTTTTCCGTCGATTTTCCACCATTTTGCAGGCTCACGACTCGGCGATTCGTGCTCTGAAATGGGCGTCAAATGAGCAATGGCTTCTGAGTGCCGATCAGGGTGGATATGTGAAATACTGGCAACCGAATATGAACAACGCGCACATGTTCTCCGCGCATAAGGATGAGGCGATTCGAGGATTGGCGTGAGTTTTTGATTCGGCTGAAATTTGAAGAGATTCTAAAAAATTTGAGATAAGGATTTCGGAAATCTCAGATTTTTGGATTTTCAATTATCTCAAAATCTGAAATTCCTGAGCATTTTGAATCTTTGGTTCCTCAAAAACCCCGAAAAATCCAAGATTTCGCTTTTCTGAAATTCGAAATTTCGAAAAATTAGGAAAATTTTCTCTCTGAAATTTTGTAAATTTTGAAGATTTTTATAATTTTTACCTAATTTTTCGAATTTGGCGCCAGATTGAAATTTTCAGATTCAGAAATTTCGAGAGATTCTGACTTTAAAACTATGGAATTCCAGAATCTTGGAATGTTTGAAAATCGGAAGGTTCCAGAGTACCGTAAAACCTGTATTAGAAGGAAGACTCTTCTTTACAGGGGGTGCCCTTCTAATACAGGTTTTACAGTAATTCGAATTCTCAAAATCTTGAATTTTAAGAATTTTCAGATTTCAAGAATTACGATTTTTCAAGATTCGGAACTTTTAAATTTTGAAATCCTAAACAAAAGCAATTTTATGAAAACTCAAAATTTCGGGAATTTCAAATTATCTGGACAATCGATTTTTTTTTGTTTTTTGAAGTTTCTGAAAATCTCCCAAGTTGTTTGGACCAAAATTTCGAATTTTCAAAATTCAAAGATTCTAGGATTTGGGAACTTTAAATCCTGGAATTCTGGAACTCCAAAAATTTCGAATCCCAGAATCTCAGATTATCAGAATCGTAAATTTTGAGAATTTTCGGAATTTGAAAATTCAAAAATCTCAGAAGCCTCCAGAATTTTCAAATTTCAAGAATCCGAGATATGTCGAAATTCTTGAATGGGACACATTCCCCCAATTCCTATCTTTCCAGTTTCTCCCCAACCGACGTCAAATTCGCAACTGCTTCTGACGACGGTACCGCCCGCGTTTGGGATTTTGCCCGCTACACCGAAGAACGGCAATTGAGAGGTCACGGAGCTGAAGTTCGTTGCATTGATTGGCATCCAACTAAAGGATTGTTAGTTACGGGCTCTCGAGACACTCAACAACCAGTGAAGATTTGGGATCCCAAGACTGGATCTTGTCTGGCAACGCTTCAGGAGCACAAGAGCAGTGTGATGGCGGTGGAGTTCAATAAAAATGGGAATTGGTTGTTGACCGGTGGAAGGGATCACTTGGTGAAGATGTACGATATTCGGATGATGAAGGAAGTGAAGACATACCGTGCACACAAGAAGGAAGTCATTTGTGAGTTTTTGTTTTGAAACAAGACATGTTTTGAGATTCTAAGTATACACCTAAATGAACCCCGATTTCCCCTTTTTTCAGCTCTGGCTTGGCATCCAATTCACGAAGGACTCTTCGTTTCCGGCGGTGGCGACGGTTCGATCGTCTATTGGATGGTCGACGGCGAGAAAGAGATTGGCCTTCTGGAACACGCGCATGACCAAGCGATCTGGTCCATGAAGTGGCATCCACTGGGTCACATTCTCGCCACCGGCTCCAACGACAATAATACCAAATTCTGGGCGAGAAACCGTCCCGGAGATACGGTAGAAGACATTTTCGGCCTGAGCAATACTACAATGATTGGACACTTGGATAAGGAGCGAGAGCCACGGTTGGCGCCACCAAAGCCATCTCAAGAGGCCCAGGAGGTCTACAAAACGGATACCTTTATTCCAGGAATGGGACTGGATGAGAATCTCTATGAGCAATTGAATCGAGAAGGAAATATGCTGGCATCAGACTCGGCGTTGCTGGTCCCAGATGACATGTCCCGTCAGAATATGGTCCCTCAAATCGGTGCGAAGAGAACGCTTATCAAGCAGCCACCAGCGAAAAAAGCGCAAAGACAATTCGAGAGAATGTGGAATAATTCAAAGGGAATCGGCGCGGGAACCGATGATTTCGCGGCAATGATCGGAGGAATGGGTCGAGAGGATGCGGAAGGTTATCAGCCACAGCCATCACAAAGCTTCCTAGGACCACCGACGACAGGTGGAAGCTTACTGGGACCGAGTCAGCCGAGGCCGCAAGGACCACAAGGACCACCACAAGAATATCATCAAGTGCCACCGCCAAACCAAGGAGCACCGTGGAGAGGAGGTCATGGAGGCCCTGGTGGACCCCCTGGCAACAACTATGGACCACCACGAGGGCCTGGAGGATGGGGACCTGGAAATCGGCCTGGTGGAAACTATGGACCACCTCAACGATCGTTTGGACCACCACCACAGGCTCAAGGATCATTTGGATCCTATCAACAACAACGTCCCCACCCACCTCAACAACAACAGCCAACCGGAGATATTGACTACCGAAACCCGGGAAATGCGAATCCAACCGGTGACGTGGATTTGAGACAAATGCCTGCACAACCTGGCCCGCCAGACTCTTGGAGAGGCGCTGGACCCCCGCCACCACTACCACAAGCACAACAACAGAATAGAGCTCAAGTGAATGATCCGAGAAGAGATCCGAGAATGATGGCTCAGCGGGTAAGGAAGCCTAGGAAAAAATGGCGCCGAATTTAAAAATTTGAGTGCCCCAAGCAAACATAGCGCCGAATTCTGTTTTTTTTTTGGAATTTGCCGCCAATTTCAAAATTTTTAAAAATTCAAAATTTCCAGCCTGGCCCAATGAGCCCACCTGCAAACCAACAACCACCACCACCTTCTCAAGCTCAAAACAACCAATGGATGCCACAATTCGACGGAGGAGCTCCGAATCGTCGTGGTGGACACCGAGGAAGGGGGCGGGGACAGCCCTATTAGCTCTTAAAAAAAACTTTTTTTTTTCAAAAATTTGCTATTTTCTCTCTTGATTTGTAGTCTGGACCCTCTCGAGATGTTGTGATTTTCACCCCGTTTTTTTTTGTCTATTTTTACCACAATTTTCGTTCCTATTATCTCAAAATTTCCCCCTTTTCCCTCTTCTTAAGCTCTTTTTCACTAAAAATCTGTTTTCTGCTAAAAATTTCAAAATTTCCTTGCTATCCCACCGTTTGTTAAATAAATACATGGAAATTAATGCATTTTTCGCTGAACAATTGTGAACTTTGCTTTTAAATAGGTGATTTTCAGCTTTTCCAGCCTTTTTATAACGGAAAATACTCGAAAAATCGAGAAAAAATCGCTGAAAATGATGCAAAATTTAAAGTTTGATGTGCATGCACCTGCATTTTGTCTTGGGTTACTGTAATATTTTTAAAATTTCAAACATCACAAAACGCGCGCGCGCGTCTTTTTGATTTTTCAACGATTTTCGGGCGGTTTTTTTCAGATTTTTTCGCATTCTTCTTGAAAAAAGCAGCTGCAGACGATGAGAAGTCGAAAAATTCGCTGGAAAAGTGGATTTTTCAAAAAATTTCAGCCAAGAATCGACATTTTTGATTTTTTTCAAATTTTTTTCATAAAAAGCGGATAAGCAATTTTTTGATACTTCAGAAGCAATATTTCTAGAGTTTTCATCCTTCTTTGCCTGCGAAGTTTTCATCCGAAAATTTTTAAATTCAAAATCAAAGTTTTAGCCATTTTTCGATTGTTTCTCAGCGAATTCGTCATGTTTCAGGAATAGAATTCCCTCGTTTTATTTGAAAATTGTGAATTTAGTCGCAAAATGCTTTCTCTGTCACCACTTACAATTATTATTGTTAGAACATAGCCATCCTTTTCCCTTCTCCCCCTTCCAATTCAAATTTCGCGCTTTCTCTGCGTCTCTCACTCGTACATTCTCTCTCGTCACTCTTCGTTTGTTTTTGATTGTTTTCTCATCGGTTTTTTGCCAAAACGTCTCAAAATCTTCCATTTCCAGCCGTCGAAAAATGTCGCGACGGGTGAAACGAAACAAGAAAGCCGGACCGTCGGTGGAGGACGAGGAAGACATTTGGGAGTTCCTTCATGAGTAAGTTAGCGGAAAATTAAAATTATTTATTTTTTCGCGTTTTTCAGAAATTTGTGCAGAACGGAAGCCTTCGGCGATGCGACCGATGCACTTTTCGAGAAGTTTCTGAGGGAAAATCCAGCGAAACAATGGCAAGTGAAGGAACTTGTTGAATAGTGAGTTTTTTTTTCGAAAGTTGTGAAAAATACGCAATTCCTTGCTTTCAGTTTCAACGAAACGATGCTCGCAGCGCTCTACAAGTGTCAATTGCTGCCGGAGAAGATTCTAGAGCTCTACAAGAAGCTAGAAATTAAGATTTCGGAGCATGTGGAGCGCGTGCTAGAGGCGAAATGTGGAGCGACGATTCGTCTGGATTCCGACAGATGTATACACTCGTATCAGATCTTTGCTGCGCAAAATCCGACAACTACATACTCGCGACCTGAAGTTCCAAGAGCAGAAGTGCCAAGAGCAGAAGTGCCAAGACCAGAAATTCCGAGACCAGAACCCACGATTCCACACGATATGAGTGTTCCAGAAGAGTTTGAAGCCAAAATGTTCGATCACATCTTCTCAAATTTTACTCATCTCACAAAACCCCTTCTGATGTCTGCTTCTTTCTGGGATCGGTTGATCGCCGAAGAGCAAGACCCTTCAATTCGATCAGCGAAGCTTCTCATCCACCATTTCTCTACAAAAATGCTTCCGAACCTCTATCATCAGATTGCGGACGCTCATTCGAAGCTATGGATCTATCAAATGATGGAATGGCAGTTAGATCCTGCGCAACGCAGATGGTTTGAAGAAAAGGAGAAGATGGAGCTTGTGATGAATGTCGATGGGAGTTTGAAGAGTTGGAAGAGGACGGAATGGCCAGTGAAGACTGCTCCAGCACCGTCTGCCCCCGCTGTGAGAAGTCTAGCAACTTGGGTGCCGAGGAATACTCAAGGAGCTGGTCCGAATGTCCCTTCTACATCAAGATCTGTTCCAGCACCTCGACCGATCAGTCCTGACAGCCTGCCACGTCATCGAAATGTGAAAGTTGAAGAACTAGATGATAACTACGAAGAAGACGATAGCAAGCATTTCCCTCGAATTTACTCAATAAGTGGAGTCAAAACGCGCGGAGCCTTCACGCTCGAAGACAAAATGAATGGATGGAAGTATGTTTTGAAGAGGATGAAGAGAGCTGTGAGAAACGGAGAGGATTCTGTGCTACCAAAAGGACTCAAATTTTGGAGGGATTATGTAAGAGAGACGAATTCGCGAAGATCGGCTGATAATTGGTGCTCACAGTGAGTTTTAAAAACGGGCATATTCACCTGAAAAGGAATTTTTGCAGTTTCCGAAAGTACATGGCCCCTGCTCTTCACGAAATGCCCATAAACCGAGGGAACATGCTATTCCTGTACAAATACATAGAGATCAAAGTGGATGATCGGCTACACAAACTGTAAGTTAAAAAACAATTATCTTTAAAAATCTGAAATTTCCAGACTCGAGCGTAAATGTGATGCGAAAGTGCAAGTGGCTAACGAGCAAGTCTACTCGTTCAAGCTTTTGAATCGAGATGAAGAGGGAGAAGAGGAGCAAGCCGCTGTGGCATCAGAAGGCGACGAAGATCCAGAAGAGGAGGAGCCAAATCCAGCTGATGTCAGAATTGACGAAGAATCTGATAGCGAAGAGGAGGAGGTGGAGACGATTGATTATGACACTACGCTCCCGATGGCCCAAGAAGACGATCCACATGAAGTCACAATTCAGCCGTTAGGAGATTCGATAGATCAGGAGCATCAGCCGGAAGAGGCACCAGAAGACGTCGCGATGATTCCGCTTCCCGAAGAGCAACGAGCTCAAGATTTTCGTACGCCAGAGCCTTCCCAAGCAGCGGGAAACTTGGAAGCCGATTCTTCACGGTTGGGATCTTCCAGAAGAAGATCTATAAGGAAATCGGTGTCAATACGTGCAAAACCGACATGTTCAGTGAGAAAATCGAGTCGAAAGAGAAGCTTGTCGAATCCGGAGAGAGTAGAGGTTGAAGAAGACGAGAGATCTGTATCGCCAGTTGTAACCAGACGATCGCTCCGAAATTCTGATCAAAGGACTCCGAAAAAATCAACGGTAAGAATTCCGCAAGTACGGCAGATTTGTGAGTCAGAAGAGGTGGAGGAGGAGGAGGAGCCAGAACACGAATTTATGGCCCCGGAATTCGATGGAAACCTGGAGTCACTCGAGATCACGGACTCAGTTATCCCGGACTCGGTTGCTCCGAACTCAGTTCCCATTGATTTCGTAGAACAATCAGGCGACATTTTCGAGCCATCCACCACACCGATTCAACTCTTAGAAGACGTTCCCTCTTCGTCAGGAGAGCCAAAAGTGTTGGATCTGAAAAAGGTGTTGCCTGGAAACGAATTCATGGAGATTTCGACTCTGCTCCAGCTTGTTCAGATGACGTTGGACGAGAATTGTAGCGACGACGCCATTCTGCAGATGCCAGAGGCTATTCTGGAGGCGTTCCATCGCGAGAATTGGGATATGGTATAATTCCATTCTTACGTCCCTATCAAAACTCTGAAACCTATCGTAAAACCTGTAATAGAAGGGCCCCAACACTGTCAAGTTTGAGCTAATTTATCTCAGTTCCTGCCAAAGATATGAAAAAGTGATCAACTGATAAATTGGTTACTGTAATATCACAAACATTTTATCAGTTGACAAATTTTTGATATCTTGTATGGGAGCCGAGAAAAATTTGCTCAAATTTGACAGGATGGGAGCCCTTCTATTACAGATTTTATGGTATAATTTTTCGTCGCTGGAAAGTCTGAAAATCTTGTTTGAAAACCGAAATTGTGAAAAATCTGAAATAAAACTTCCAAATTTTCCAGGACGGCACACCGAGCGCATCCGCCTACGCATCGGCTGAGATGGTGGTTCGTGAGAATACGGATGGAGAAATGCGAAGATCGCTGTTGAAAAATATGGACTCACTCATGAGGAAGACCTCTGCAAATGTCGAAAATCGTCTTGTATTCGAGAAGCGAAAAGAAGCCGTGACTAAGGCTCTGAAAAAATGTGCCGACGAAGAGCGAGCTTCGACGTCATCTAAAAAATAATTGCACATTTTTTCTCTGCATTTTTCTTTTTTATATTCTACGAAATCCCATTTTATTTGTATCTCTCAGTTTTCTCTCTCGGATCCTCAGTACACGGTGTACTGTACACCTACTTTTTCTGTGAATAAATCGCTTATGTTTTTATTAAATTTTCCCCCTTTTTTCTCTCAAATTTCCGGTGCTCACATTGATTTTGTGCGAATTCTTCCCACCCGATTTTGATATTTCTTAATCCATTTTTTTCAGAATTTCGGAAAAAATTGAACATTTCAGATGACGTTTCCACAAGATAGACAAAGTCTAGATGAGGACGAAGAGGATGAATTGTGGAAATTTGTTTACGAGTAAGAGAGAAATTTTGATTTTCCATTTGAGAAAAAAAAGCTAGTTTTAGACGGAAATTTAAAATTTTTCCCTCTGAAAACATTATTTTTAACCAATTTTTTCCATTTTCCAGCTGTGAAATTGCCAATAAAATGTCTGAAAATCTGGAAAAAAAAGACTTTTTCAACAGATTGTTTGAAATTAACAACTATGAATAGGCTGAAAAAAAAAACATATCCTCAGTTTTTCACCGCAAATTATCGAAAAATTATCAAAAACGAGTATTTTTCAACTCTAAATTCTAAGATTTCAGCCGTAAAATAGCCGGCAAAACGTCCGAAACGCTTCATCAAGTGCTCAAAGAATTCAAATCAACGAGAATGGCTCGGCAACGGACTCTGACTGATGTTGAGTTTCAGTGAGTTTTTTCAAATTTTCAGTCAGAAAATTGGGAAAAGTGAAGCCGAAATTCGAGATTTTTGAGCTCAAAAATGAAAAAATTGGCAATTTTTTCCCCCAAAAGCTCGAACTTGATTTCACCGATTTTTTCGGATTTTTGAGCTATTTTAGGCCAGAAAGGTGAATTTTTTGGCTCCCAAATTGGAGATTTTGAGCTCAAAAATAAATAAATTAAAGTTTTTTGACCCCGAAAGCTTTAAATCGCTAAAAATTCAATTTTTTGCAGTTTTCACAAGGAAATGGTTCCAAATCTGTACAAGACAAGATATCTGACGCCGTTGCAGATTCTGGAGACATATCGGCATTTTGAAATTCCGCTGACGAGGCGCGCCAGACAAGTGTAAGGACATCGGGACAAACAGATTTTGGGAAAAAAATAAAATCATTTTCAGACTGCAAGTCCTGACAGGAGGAAATATTCTGAGGTGCACTTCACAGGGATTGCTCATATCCTGGAATTCTAGAAACGAAGTTGATGTTCCTCCAAGAATTCGAGAGCAACCGGTAAGGATTACTGTACCTGGCCACGTGGAAGTGCTCATGTGGAAGCACATTCGGAAGCATGCGGAAAGGCTAGAAGCTCAGACACTTCATACGGAGTATTTCTGGGAATCAATGGAGATGGAAGAGGAGGATAGAGAGAGAGTTACACCGGAGATGATGGTTGATTAGTGAGTTTTTACTGAAATTCTATGAAAATTGGGCTGAAAAGTATCTGGAAATTACTGAAAATTGCTCTAAAATGGCTGGAAATGGACTGAAACGTGCGCAAAAAGTATTTTATTGGAAATCTGCCTAAATGTTCTGAAAGTTCAAGAATGCTTTTTGACTGAAATTCCTTTCCAAATTTTGGCTGAATTTCCATAAAAATTGTGGCTTAATTTGCTGGGAATGGAGCTTAAAACTATCTGAAAATTGATTTGCTGGAATTCCTAGAAATTGAACTGAAACAGCTGAAAATCGACTGGAAGACTGACCAAAAATAGTAAACATTTACTGGAAACAGCCCTGGTTTATTTTGAAACTAGCCTGAGAATTAACCTTAAAATTCTGAAAATCGACTGAAATTTAGAGGAGATGTCTGAAAATGTAAAGAAAATTGACTGAAAATGGACGGAAGCCTGTCCTGAAATCGCTAGAAGACAACTAAAAATACGGTATTTTCTCTAGCTCAATTATCTCGATTTCTAGGGGAGATATCTCAAATTTGTCAACTGATAAAATAAATTTTTGTAAAATCTTCTATATTTTATCAGTTGACAGATTTATTATGTCTATCATGGGAAATGAGATATCTGAGCTCAAAATTGACGGTTTTTGTGGGCTTCTATCAGAGGAAATGCTGTGAATTGCTAGAAATGAGCTCAAAAATATCAGAATATCAATATGCTAAAATTGCTGAAAGTTAAAAAGGCTGAAAAAATAACTAAAAAGGCTGAAAATCGTCTGAAAACTGACAAAAAAAAAGTTGCAATTTACTGAAAATGAACCTAAATTGCCTGAAAGTGAACATGAAGTTCTGAAAACCGACTAAAATTATAGTGATTTTTGACTGAAAAGGACTGAAATATGTCCCAAAATTGAACTAAAAACACCGTATTCTTTCGTACAGAAGCCCACATATCTTACTTTCTGTGAAAGGTAGCAGAAATTTGTCGACTGATGAACTATAGGTGATTATATGCTTACTAATTAATCAGTTGGCAAAATTTTGATATCTCCCCTAGAAATCGAGATATTTGAGCTTGAAGTTGGCGGTTTTTTTTTCTGAAAATAGGGGTGCCAACTACTATAAACTTTTCAGACAATCAACAACGACATTCTCCATTTTTCAGCTTCCGCGAAGCCATCATGCCACGTTTCTTCGCTCTCAAAATCGACCCAGAATCGAAAGCAGACCTGATGCGCTGTCTTCGTCTGAAACCCACGATAGCCCAGAAGTTGTGGCTGATTCATCACGATTCGCTACTCCTGACGACCGACAAAACCAGTGGCAATATTGTGGATTGGCTGTTTTGGAGGCGTGACCGAGATCCAGAAGACGTCAAAATGAATCCGTTGGAAGGATACAGGACTCCGAAAATGTACGAACCGTCGCCAGAGAAGAAGCGAACTCCAGTGTCTGATGAGGAAATTGCAGACGAAGAATCGACGATGATTGCAGAATACCTTAGATGGCTGAAAGAAGATGCTGAGAAGAAGGACCAGGCCGCTCATAAAGCTACTTTGAGAAATGGAAGACGTGAAACCATTGCTGAGTATGATCAGGAGCCACACAAAAGAGCCAGACGACGTCCGAGTCCGGAAGAGATCGATCGAGATGCTAGAGCATTGATGGATGGCATCTTCGCAGAGCTGGAAGATCTGGAAGCATGCGAGGTGATATTGAAGGATTGCCAGACTGATCAGAAGGTGGAGGAAGAAATTCAGGAGGATCAAGAGGTTCAAGCGGTTGAGAAAGAAGCTCAGGAAGTTCTAGAGATCCAGGAGAAGCAGGAAGATTCCGAGCTTCCAGACGTTCCAAATGATGACGTGGCAATGAAGGAGATTGTGTATTACGACGCAGTGGATGAGCAATATTATCAATTTATTGGCGACGAGATGGAGCCGGAATTTCCAGTCGAATCGCGGGAAGTGGTGATGGAAAAAGAGGTGATTGAGCAAGATATGGAATGGGTCGCTGCAGACGAGAGGAGAGAGTTTGAGTTTAAGGTATGGATCCTAGGGTTACCGTAAGGCCTGTAATAGAAGGATTCCTATACAGTCAAGTTCAAGCTCAATTATCTCGGCTTCTGTAAGAGATATTAAAGATATGTCGACTGATAAAATGTTTGTGATATCAATTTACCAGTTAGTTGACAACTTCTGGATGTCTTCAACAGGGACGTTAAAAATGGGCTCAAAAAATGAGTGTTAGTTCTATTACAGGTTTTACGGTATTGTTTTTTTTTCTAACCGACTGTGAGATTTTTTCCAATTTCCAGCCCGCCAACTCTCTAATCGCCTCCATCGACGACGACGACGACGACGAGATCATTGACGTCGTCAACTTCTCTCCAGATGAAGACTGGCAAGAGCAACTTTTGAAGCGAGACAGAGTGAGCTATCAGTATCCAGTCTATTTGAACGGTCGAAACAGTTATGAGCAGCATTTGTTTATGGGAATGGAGCAGCAAGAGTTTTCAAGTGTCGAGTATGACTTTGAGCAGGTAGAAAAACTAGAAGTTTCTGGAAAGAGTTTCTATTTTTCAGCCTGATGTTAGGAATTTGCCATCCACATCGGCTCCAAAAAGAACTGTCAGAGCACCAAAGATGTATTCCCCAGAAGCAGCTCCAAAACCAACTCCTGCTCCAAGTTACCCGAAAAACACCGCCGCTCTGAGAGATCCCGCTAGAAGTCATCCCAAACTTTATACAGCGAACCCACGGATTCCTACTGTAGCTAGATTCAAATCCTCCAAAATTCAAAATGTCGCTGCTCCACCATCGCCCCCAAAACGCCAGAAGAGAGCTGCCGCCAAATCTCCAAAAATAGCGAAAACTCCTGTTAAGAGAGCAAGGAAGGAGCCGACGCAGAGGCGATCGACACGACTGGAGCCGGTTGCTTCAGAATCCGGCCAAGAGAAAGTGGCCAAGCCGGATGCTTCAGAATCCACCCCATCGGATCCTTCTCCAAAAGAAGACGTCGAAACGTGGCAAGAGAAGCTGGCGCGAGTTTGTCCAGTATTCTATATCCAAACGACACCGGGAATTATCAAAATCGGAGACACCGGAATCTTTATGGACAAGCACAACGTCATCAGAAGAGTGCCACCACCAGAACCGCCGTATCAAACGTTCTCGAAGATTATATCCAACGATAAGGATATAATAAAATATTATAATGCTATGGAACTGAAGCCCTTTTCGTTTGAATGGGATGATGGAATTTCGTTTGTGAAGGATGGAGCGAAATTCGAGATGATTTTGAGAAACAAGTCTAAGGAGACGATTCAGAAGGAGAGAGAAGGGAATGAGGTAAAAATTCTTTTTAAAATTTGGAATGGCAAAATTCAAAAAAAAATTGGTGGTTATTCGAAAAGTGGTTCAGAAAACTCTGAAATTGCTGAAAATCCATTTATTAATATTGTATAGAAACTTCAAAATGTCATAAAAATGTGATATTCGGAAATCCTGAGCTTTTTGAACTGGCGAATTCTGAACTTTGAAAATTTAGGATCCCAAAAATTTGGAAGTTTTGAAAATTCCAAAGTTTCAAAATTAAGAAATTCAGAAGATCGAAGTTTGAAAAAGTTCCGAGATACCTGAATATTCCGAATTTTCGAATTTCTCTAATTTTGATTTCCGAGATTCAGAACGTAAAAATTCTAAAAATTGAGATTTCGAAAATTCAAAAACCCATTAAATTTGAAAATTTCAGAACTTTGAAAACTCCGAATTCCAGAAATTCGAAAATTCTGATGTTCACAAACTCTGAAGTTTCGAATTTTCTGAAATTCCAACTTTAAGGAATTCGCAAATTCCTAAGGTTTCAGAACTTTTGAAATTCGGAAATTCAGAATTTCCAAAAATTTTGAAAATTAAAACATCACAAAGTTGGAGAATCAAAGTTTTGTAATCTGGGGACATTCGGGAAATTTGAAAATTGAGAATCTAGAAATTCCATTTTTCAAATATCCGAAATTTCTGAAATTTTGGAATTCAAAAAATCAGAAACCCCTAAAATGTTTAAAAAAAGATTCCACAAATCCCGAAATTAAAGGTGGGGGGGACAGGAGATTTTTCGGAGGATTTTTGGAGCCAGGGTATGCATTCTACCGTAACGGTGAACATCTGCGTACAGCTGTCGTCCTCCCCCTTATATCGGGCGGCCGCTTCCTCTTTGCCCGCGTGGCTCAGTCGGTAACGGCGCCGCGCCTTCAATCCTCGCCCCCACAAGTTCAACTCCTCGAGGGGCATATTTACACGGAATTTCGAGAACATTATTTTTCTCATGTCTCGCCACCTTTAAAGGTTTCAGGATTTCGAAAATTCTGAAATTTCAAAAAATTGGAGAATAACCTCTATCTGTCCCCATTGACCTATAAAACCAATTTTCAGAGATCTACGACGACCCGCAGAAGCTTCCGAATGCTCCAAAAACGACGTGCAATGTCTCCAGTCTTCTCCACCCAATCATCAATTCAATCATCCCGTCGAACTTCATCAACTCGTCAATATTCTCCATCTCATCGTTCTTCATCTGAATTCTCCTCATCTTCCTCCACTACAAACTACAAATCTCTATTGTTTTCCAAACACCGTGGAATTTTCCCCGTTAATCGAGATTCGAATATTCCAGATTTCCAGCAGTAATTCTTAATTACTGCTTATCAATTTATCAATTTTCCTTTTTCTTTTTTTTTCTTTTTCTTTTCTTCTTTTTCTTGTTTACCGGTATCCTATCAATTTGTTGTTCTCCCCAAAAATTGGGTCTTTTTTGTTGTTGCTTCCGAAAATCTGCCATATTTTTTCCCATTGTTCTCACCACGATCTCTCGCTGGCTGTTTTTCTCTTTTGAAAAATGCCTCAAAATCAATGAAACTGGTGTTTTGTTAGAACATTTTATTAAATAAAAACCGAAAAAGTTAGACCACTGAGAAACTGTAGATAGGCTCGTCGCGGACCAATTTGGCACGTTCCTTAGCACTCAAATTGGGTGTATCCTTCAGTTCGGTCCAGTGAAGAATGATCTCTTGATCCGATGGACACGATAATCGGAACATTTCCAAATCGTAACCAGACTTCAAATAGTCCCAAAGATGCGTCAAATCCGGCGGGAATTCGTAGTTTTTGAGAGCCTAAATTTGGAAGTTTCTGTGTTTATGTGTGTCCGGATGTTCACTCACCTTGGCAGCAATGCGAATCGAATGGAGTCTGGTCAAGACGAGACAATCCAGATGAGCAATGTCGTCGGAGAGCAAGAAGCGGGTGCCGTGCTCCGAGAGATATTTATCCAAACGGAGCAGTTCTGTGTTGAGACACTGAAATTAAAAAAAAATATTCTTAAAATTTGAATATTGAAAAAACTTGAACTCTGAAATTTCGAACATTTTGAAATTCCCGAATTTTCAAATTTCTGTATTTCTGAACTTTGAAATTTCATATTTTAGAAATTCCAAAATATCGAGTTTTTCTATGTTTTTTTTTAATTTCAAGAATTATAAATTTCTCGATTAAAAGCTTTCCAATTTTCAGTATTTTTCGAGTTTGAAAAGTTAAAATTTTTTAAATTCAAATTTTTAACATTTTGAGTTTTGCAGAATTCTCGAAAATTTAAAATTTTTGGAAACTATGATTTTTTGAAGTTTTCAAAATTTCGAATTTTGATAAATTTCTGAAATATCCATATTTTTGAAATTCAGTTTTTTTTTGCAATTTCAGATATTGAGAAAATGGAATTCTCAGATTTCTAATTTTTCGAATTTTTTCAAAAATTCAAATTCGGAAACTTCAACTTTTTAGCGCTGAATCTTCTTCAGATTTGAATATTCAATTTTTTAAATTCCGCATTTTCCGAATTCTCGGAATTTCTGAATTTTCGATTTTTTTTTGAATTTTGAAATTTGAAAATTCTGAACCATTGAAGTTCCAAATTTTCACAAAATTTTCGAATTCTCTATTTTTCAAATTTTGGAATTCTCAAATTTTCGAATTATCGAGTTTTTGTTCTTCTGAAGTTTCAGAAATTTCAAAAATACATTTTCGAAGTTTGGGTTTCTGAATTTTTGAATTTTCACATTTTCCAAGGTTCCGGAATTCTTGAAATTTCGAATTTTTTGAATTTTTTGGATTTTTATATTTTCGGTTTTCCGAGTTTTCCGAATTCTCGAAATTCCTGAGTTTTCTAGGTTTTCGGATGTTTGGAAAAATTTAAATTTTTGAATGTTACAGATTTCGGATTTTGAAAAATTCAAAATTTTGAATTTTCGATTTTCGTTTGGAATTTAAAAATTTCTGAATTAATTAAAAATTTTGAATAAAATTTGAATTTCTCAAAATAGATCAATTTGTACTTATTTTAAAGCTCACAGTGAGAGAAATCGATTGGTATAATTTTCATTAAGATTGGATGAAAATTCGGAAAGTTACAGAAAAACAAATTTACGAAAATTTTCGTGGCAGGACCCGAACAACTTACCGTATCCTTATGCTCAACATCCTTCACATAACGTGCAAATTGTCTGAATAGATCGCACGTCGCATTCTCCGCCTCCTCATCATCGCCTCTTTTGGGTTCCAAAAATTCCAGAAAATCCAAAATTTCGTCTTCCGTCTCGAATGTCTGCGTCTCTCCACTCTCCTCATCGTTAGCACATATTCCAGGCATCCGACGGAGACCAGTTTCTTTGAATTCTTGACTTTTCTTATTCACATTTGTTGTCTTCACCTCGAATTTAATCGATTTGTCGTGCTTGGCATGGAATAGACAACGCATGAAGAGGTGGTGAGCTGGAAATAGGGAGTTTGATTTTAGCTTGGTTGAACTTTGCTAATCAAGAGCTTTCGAATGATACTAAACATGACCAATTTTGAAAGATTTTGAAAAGATTTTGAAAAAAAAACATTTTTCTAGAATTTTTAAGAAAAAAACCAGTTTCTAGGTCACGCAGTTGAAAATAAGGCCACCAAAGTATTATTTCTAGATTTGTCTCAATAAGAGCTTTTAAATGATACCCAACATGACCGGATTTGAAGGATTTTGAAATTTTGGAATTTTCGTGGTGGGACCCATAAAAACAAAAAATGAATTTTTCCGAAAATTAGCCATGATCATACTCATTTTAAAGCTCTTGACGAGTCAAACTCAAAACTGTAAAATTATTCGATTTTGAGCAATAACTGACGAAGTTATGATAGAAAATGTAATTTCGTGGTGGGACGCAAAAAACAAAGAAAGCTTTTTTCAGAAACATGGTCATTATTATACTCCTTTGAAAGCTCTTGATTAGTCAAACGCAAATCTGCAAAAATATTTGAGTTTCAGCACCAACCAACCAAGTTACGGTGAAAAATGTATTTTCGTGATGGGACCCAAAAAATATTTTTTCCAAAATATAGCCATGATTATGCTCGTTTGAAAGCTCTCAGTGAAATAAATTCAAAAATAATAATTTCAGCAAGTTTGAGCAAAAATTCAATGAAAAAAAAACGCCAAAAAAAAATTATCGCAAATCCTTACCATACGGATCACCAGCGGGCAGAACATTGTTGGAGCCAGCGGCGAGCCACAACGAAAATTTGGTCATTTTTGATTCAAAGACCGATATAAGACAGAGATGTGTTCACACTGAAAATTAAAAATTTGACTCTGAAAATTTCCGGGGAGCTGGAAAAAGGTCTGAAGACGTGGAAAAAGCAGCCACGTGAAAGTAGGTGGATAGGTGGTAGACTTGCAGGCAGACGAAATAATTCAGGTTAATTAAATTTTCACGTTTGCGTGAAAATGTTCACATTAGACGAGAAAAAGTTTCAGCAATCACAGAAACTTAGAAATACATGATGGCCTTACTTTTGACTTATGAATTTTCTAGGCCACCAACTTTCAATGTCTAGAAATTGTCCAACACTCACTGGGAGTGTTTTCTAGGCCATTCACCATCGTGGCCTAACTTTCTCAATATGTATTTTCTAAGCCATCATCGAAAACGGCTGAAAAACAAATAAGTTGTTTGTTAGGTCATTTCTAGGTCCTATGGTCATAAGTTAGGCCAGCATGTTAGATGGCCTTGAAAACACATCGGCAAAAATGTTAAGCCTCTTTCTAGGCCAGTAGCTTTGGTGGCCTAGAAAACTCAACTTGCAGACGTTAGGTCAACATTACCATGGTTGACGGCCTAAAAAAGCATATCGGGTGACTGTTAGGTCATTTCTAGGACATCTGCTATGGTGGCCTAGAAAAATCATGTTGATAACGTTAGGCCACTATAGTAAATGGTCTAGAAAACAAGGAAATAAATTGGAAAATCAGAAATTCGAAAAATTCAGAAAAATCGATTCCAAAAACTAAAAATTTCGAACAATTTCATTTTAATTCTGAATCCTAAAAAGCGAAAAAGTTCAACATCCTCTAAAAAATGATAAAAATCAAATTTTCTATTTTCTCACTGCAAAAAATGGCATGGAGCAAATGTCAATATTTTATGATTTTTTTCAAAGAGGAACGCAAAAAAATCGGCAAAAATGGGTGTGATAAGTGGTCACTGTCCGGCGGTGACGGACAAAAAAAAACTAGTGATAAGAGCTTTAAAAGAATAAATGTCAAAAACCTATTTAAAAAATTTTTGAAAAAAAAAATCCTGCAACTTTTAGTCACATGGAAGTTCTAGAGATCAAAAGGAGCAAGTTTGGTTTTTTAGGCTGTGGCCTAGTTTTTAAAAAATTAGTTTTCTAGGCCATCCATTATTTTTAAAGCTTTTTTTTCATGCTGAATTCTTTTTTGTGAGGTTAATGTTCTCCAATGTCACAAAAACTGATTCCCATGAATGTTTGAAATTTTGTTTTTCGAAAAAATTTTTTGAAAAGGGTGGAGTAATCTGTCAGTCAGTAAGTAAAAAATAAATACATTCATGGAATTTTCTCCATTTTTTTCGAAAAAAAATTTTGAGAGAAAAAAAATGATTGATGGGTTTTGGAGAATTCATTTTTTTTTGGTGAAAAATTTCATGAATTTGAGAAAATTTCAATGTTCGAAGTATTGGAATTTATAATTTTATCAAAATTTTAGAATTTCAAATTTTAGGTCTTCAATACTTCAGAATTTTGGAATCCCAAAAGTTCAGGACTTTGAAATTTCAAGAATTGAAAAATCCAGAATCTCGGAATCTCAGAATCTCAGAATCTCAGAATCTCAGAATCTCAGAATCTCAGAATCTCAGAATCTCAGAATCTCAGAATCTCAGAATCTCAGTATCTCATAATCTCAGAATCTCCGAATCTCAGAATCTCAGAATCTCAGAATCTCAGAATCTCAGAATCTCAGAACCTCAGAATCTCAAAATCTCAGAATCTCCGAATCTCAAAATATGAGAATCCTTAGAATCTCAGAATCTCAGAAAAGAATTCAGATTTTCGGAATTTCAGACTTTATGGAATTTCAGAAATCTCCAAGTTTTAGAATTTTCAGAATCCTTCGAATTAGATATGACGATCTTCATGGTTGGGTCTATAATCCTCAAAATCTCAAATTTCGAAATATCTTTAATAATAAAAACTAACCCGTATATTTATAATGTTTTGAAATTCAATTTCCAAAATTTCATAATTCAGAAAACCTAAAATAAATTCTTTTGAAAGAAATTTCATAAGAAGATTTGAGCTGTCGAATTCATTCAATTTTCTCTTCTGACAAGAAGAAATTGATAAGAGAAAAGAGAGAGAGAGAGAGAGAGAGAGAGAGAGAGAGAGAGAGAGAGAGAGAGAGAAAATGAAATGAATTGAAAATGAGAAAAGTGGGAGAGAATCGGTTTTAATAACTTCGGAAAACGAAGAAGAATCCTTCTTCTTACCGAGGTGATAAAATCTAACGACGTCTTCTTTACAATTCCAGAAGACGTTGTGGAGGTGTGGAGGAAGAAGAAGAAGGAAGGAAAAATGACGAATTCCGAAGATGATTCACGTTTTGACAAGAATTCAGAAATTCAGAAATTCAGAAATTCAGAAATTCAGAAATTCAGAAATTCAGAAATTCAGAAATTCAGAAATTCAGAAATTCAGAAATTCAGAAATTCAGAAATTCAGAAATTCAGAAATTCAGAAATTCAGAAATTCAGAAATTCAGAAATTCAGAAATTCAAAAACTCAGAAATTAAGAAATTCAGAAATTCAGAAATTCAGAAATTCAGAAATTCAGAAATTCAGAAATTCAGAAATTCAGAAATTCAGAAATTCAGAAATTCAGAAATTCAGAAATTCAGAAATTCAGAAATTCAGAAATTCAGAAACTCACAATCAGGCAAAATCCAAAATTTAAAAAAAATCCTTAAATCCAAAAAAATTAAAATTTTGAAAAAATATTTTCATAGAATTTCAGACACTAAAAAATCCATTAAAAATCCAACAATTTCGGAAAATGTAGTAATTTTCCGAAATTTTTGGATTTTTAAAAAATTCGGAAGATATTTTTTAAGGAACAGAAAATGCTAGAATTCTAAAATGCTGAATTTCTGAAAATTCAAAAATATTCTAAAAGTTTAGAAATTCTAAGAATTCCAAAATATGCTCCGAAAATCAAAGAATCCAGAAATTTAGAAAAAGTTTAGTTAACTCCAAAATCTCGAAAATCTGAATTTCTGAAATTTTCAAAAAATATGACAAATCCAAAATTTCCCAGACTTTGAGATTCTGTAATTATAAACTCCTAAAGTGTCAGAATTCGTATGATAATCAAAAATCATTTTTTCTTTGCAAAAAAGACTGAAATCGATATCTAATAAACCCAAACATTTCTCTTGGGTTGAGCAAAAATGTTTGGAGAATTCGGTTCATTTTTTTCCCTCTCACTTTTTTTCTTTTCCTCTACACTCTCTCCTTTTCCCCTACTCTCTCGAGCTGCCGATTTTCAATGGTCCCTTCTCTTTCTGTGTTATAATAATATGAGGAGCAGCGGCTCACGGAGCAAAAAAGAGTGAGAATTTAAAATTAGAGAGAAGGCGAGAGATCGGGAGAAATCGAGAGACGCACGGAAGGAAAAAAAAATGAAATGGGTCCGGAAGATGGGGGAGGAAGAGGTTAGTTCAAATGACATAAACACTTTGTTATGAAACAAAAAATTGGGAATTTCAGAACTTTGAGAAAAAGAAGATTTGGAAATTCGAAGTTTTTAAATTTCTGAATTTCAGAGGTTCCGAAATTCTAAGATTCGGAAATTCTAAAACTCAGAGATTCAGAGATTCTGAAAGTCTGAAAATTGGAAACTTCATATTCACAAAATCTTTAATGTATTGAAATTTTCATATTCTGAAAATATACATTTTCCTTTCATGAAAAATGAAACAAAAAAACAAGAAGAATATATAATTTGAGCCAATATTTGTATCTTTAATCATAAATTCTATGCATTTTTGACACTATTTTTCTTCTTTTGGTTTTCTTTTTTGGGACAAAAAAGGGATAAGGTTTCAAATACTGTATATATTTTTTGAGATGTGCGCCTTTAAAAGTACTGTACCTTCTTCTCATCTTTCTGTGTCACTTTAGCGGCTGGACAGCGTAATATTTTCAAAGGCGCGCATCTCAAAAACCAAAAAAGGCACAAAAAAGTTGCCAACAACAAACATGACGCTTTATTTTTGTTTAGTACATTCTGAAAATTTCAGACAAATCGAAGAATTCTGAGCAACTTTTTTTAGGGCGTCAAAGCTTATTATTTTTCACTGGAAAAATCAAAAATTTGTATATTTCTGTCTGGGGTACTGTATTCCCCATTTCGGGTCCCACTGTCATGTTTATATTCATTTTGAAGCTCTTGATATCTGAAATTAAAAAAAAAAACCAGGTTCTCAAAGGAATCAACGTCTCCGGAAAAACCTTCGCCATCACTGGAACCACTTCTGGGATTGGTGTTGATACTGCAGAAGTGTTTGCTCTCGTCGGTTCACATGTCGTATTCATAAATCGAAATTTGAAAGAATCGGAAAACCAAAAATCTCGGATTCTCGAAAAAAAACCGGATGCCAAAATCGATATTATTCAGTGTGATTTGAGTGATTTGCGATCGGTGAGAAGGGCTGGAGAGGAATATGTGGCTAATAAATGGTAGGTGTGGAGTCCATACTATGGAAATCGGGACATTGGGATGCACAGATAGTATTCATGGGTTGATTCTTAATGCTGGAGTCTTTCGGCCAACGGTTTTGACGACAAAGGATGGATTTGAGAGCCATTTTGGGGTAAATGTGGTGGCACATTTTGCGGTAAGTGTTATGGGATTCTAGGCCACTAATGAGAAATTTAGGCCAGGAGGAAAACATGAAAACCATAAGCATTGCACTACTTCAGCTTCTCCGAGTCCTTCTTCCCGTCGTTCGTCGCTCCGCCCTTTCGAGAATTGTTATTCTATCGTCCACTTTGAGTACTCGTGTTGGATTCAAAAAATCGATGAATCTGGAACAGAAACTGCGGCTTTTATGTGGTGAGGATCCATCGACGTCTGCACTTCAGAAGTATGGAGCATCGAAATTGGCGGATATGCATTTGGCATTTAAGCTGCATCGAGATGAGAATCAGAATGGGATTAGTACCTATTCGGTACATCCTGGAGATGCTGTCAAGACCGATATTTTCAGGTGAGGATAACAAGAATGGAGCTTGCACCAGCGTAGCTCCACTGGTAGCAATGCTGCACCTTTAGCATTGAGCCCAGAAGTTCAACTCCCCTATGAGCTTTCAAGAAAAAAAAATCGAGAAACCGTAAGACCTATAATAGAAGGGCCTCCACACTGTCAAATTTAAGCTCAATTATCTCGGTTCTCATCAAAGATAGAAAAAAGTTATCAACTAAAAAATTGTTTATCATAATGTCATCAACATTTCATCAGCGGACAACTTTTTTATATCTGTTACAGTAACCGAGATGAAATGGCTCAAACTAGACAGTGTGGAGGCTCTTCTATTATCCACCCGCCGTTAACTACAAAAAAAACATTTTCAAATTTGGTTTATGGTTTCTGAAAATTTTGGATAATATGAAAAAATACAAAGTTCGAAAAAAAAGTTTTTTTTTCTCGATGCTTATGCCTCATGCTCTCAATTTTATTTTTTTTCCAGAAACTCTCCGGCCGGAAAAGTCCTCAGTTTCCTGACCACTCCTTTCACCAAAAACTCCAGTCAAGGAGCCGCGACTACAGTATACTGTGCAACGCATCCAGAAGTCAAGGAAATTTCCGGAAAGTATTGAAATCTTGTTGGGATGATGAGTCGAGAATCGATAAAGAGGCAGCGAGAGATGGGGAGTTACAAGAGGCGTTGTGGAAGAAATTGGAAGGGATCGATGATCGAATTAATGGAAGACTTTGAGAATTTGTGATTTTCTATTGATAAAATTTTTTCCATGTACCTGAAGCTTTCTCACCCACACATCCCGAGTACACATTTTGTGTTTTTCTCCCCAATTTTTCTGTCCCATTTTTTTGTGTGAGGAACATATGACCAATTCATTGAACACATTTTTCTTCTTCTTCTTCTTTCCATCTGATTCATCTTCTTTATCCTTGAATCGTCAGAAGAAGAAGCACATGACATATCCATTTATCATGGACTCTCTCCAGCTGGAGAGAGCTGATACACAGGAGATCATCATCACAAGTTTTCTCTGTTTTCTCTATCCGCTCTCTTATTCTTCAAAGCTCTCTCTGGATTTTCGGATCCGATGGATTTCTCACTTTTCGAGAAAAAAAAAGAAGACAACTCTATGATTATAAAACTGTACTTCATCATCATTATACTCTTCAGTGTCTATTCTCATCCAACAGACTTTAATGATGCCACGCCATCAGATACTGTAAGTGGCCTAGAATCCCAGAGTTAGGCCACAGGCGTTGTTGCAGGCTCCGAGAAAAAGTGAGCAATTGGAAGAGGACATTGAGAAGTTTGGAAAAGATATTCAGTCAGAATCCATGACTCTACAAGAAGCTCAAGAGAATCCAGAACTGAAAATCAATGATGAATTGGATCTTAAAAAGAATTTGGAGAATTTGCCCACGGAAAAGCTTACAGTATCTACCGAAACTACAGTATCCACTGAAAAACCCAGACTTGATCGAGAGGAGCTGGAGAATGAGGTCGCGGGTGGTGAGTCTGTTTGTCCAGATGTCCTCAAAAAAGGTTGTTTTTCAGGCGATCCACCAATCACGGACGATTTCGATTTGAAAAGTAATTTGGAGAATTTTCAAGTACCAACAACCACAGAAAGATCGGAACCAGAGCAAAATGAGTTGGTGAATGAGGAGACAGGTAATAATTTTAAAAAAAGGCCAATTTTTGAATCTTAGAACTTAGAAATCTAACAATTGTAAGATAGGTCATGTGTCGTCCTCTCTCGGATAATCAAGACATTGATCCAACTGGTGGCCTAGAAATTAACTTGTGGTTTTCTAGGTCATCTGTTGGATGGACTGTAAGTCATATGTAAGCACCGATCTCTCTGCACCATCACTCGAAAACGCACACTTCTGTTTTTTTTCAGGCGGAGATCAAGAAGACACTGAACCACTATCCGTTCATCCCAACGAGAATTATTTTTCCGATTTTAAAGGAGTGTTGAAGAATCGAAAAGCTTCCGAGAGTTCTGAAACGCTAGGAACACCTCGTCGCAGCCATCAGAATTTCAGAGGTTCCAGAATTTTCGATACACAGGAAGAGGAATCAAAGGATCTGAAATTTGGTGTGGCATCTGTGAAAGAGAAACCAAGTGTCAAATCAGAACTTTCAAATGACAAGAGTATTCTCGATTTGCATCCAGAAAGTACTTTGAAGCCGGAGCAAGACGCACAAGATCCTAAAATTGAAGAAAACGAATTGTCTTCTGACGCAACGACAGAGAACAAAGCTAGCGATGGATTTCTTGGACCTTCAAAGTCTGAAGACATCGCCACAAGTCAACCAAAACCTCCAGAAAACGATTCTAAACTGGAAAATTCGTTTTCGATTCTAGAACCCGATAACCAAAACTCGCCAGAAACCAAAACATTCGAGCCTCGGATCGATGAGCAAAAAGATGATATTCAGGGACTTCCTGACTTGGTAAAACCAGAAATTTTAGATGGTGAAGCAAGAGAGGATATGGATTTTGGAGAAGCTGATAAACTCAGAGAAGATGACGATGACTGGATCAGTTGGGATCTTATTCACTTTTTGTTATTGTTGAGTCCCTATGAGGAGGATGTGATCACTTGGTGGAACATTGTGCTAGAAGCGGTTAAGGTGAGACTTTGGGTGTCTGAGATTGGTGAATCTAGTTACAAGAATTTTAAAAGTGACAAAATTCCATCAAATCCTGTTCAGAAACCATCTTCCTCGGCCTCGTTAAAGTCGAGACCCAGTGCTTTGAAGTTTTACAGAGACGCAGAAAGT